GGCAGGCCAAGCAGTCACCCAGTCTGGCTCCAGCCACTCCCAGAGTGTGTACTACCCATCTGACCTCTCGTGAGCATCACTCCAAGCACAAGCATCCTCTTAGGTCGGAGGGCACGCATGGGAGCATATGCAGTTCTCCAACTTTGATTTGTCCCACAGAATCCTCTGAAGAGATGAATTTGTGATGAAATAGAGAAATCCAGAAATTTTACATTAAAACTGTTCTCTAGCCTCTGAAAAAATAGATATACAATAGTTGGTATTTATAGGGGATGGGTCCTAGGAGCCCACTTAGATACCCAAATCTGCAGCTGTGCAAGCCCCTTATATAAAATGGCATATTTTCACATAATGCTACACACATCCCACTATATGCTTTAAACCATCTCTAGGTTACCTATAATACCTAGTGCAATGTAAAGGCTATGTAAATAGTTATACTGTATGGCTTAGGAATAATGATGAGAAAAATTCTGTAGATGTTTAGCACCCACACCATTTTTTATCAAATGTTTCCCCTATTTGTCCAGCCTTGGGATGTTAGTGATGAAGAGTTATGATCATGGCTGAGCCCAAGGGCTCTCAGCCTCCCTCTTGGCTGCAACATTCCCAGCAGAATTCCTGTTCTCAAAAGCATCCTTTCTACTTAGCAAGACCTTCCTCTGCTCATCTCCTTGAAAAGAGTCACAGAAACCCCAGATCTGGTCTCCACCGGCCTCAAGTGTTTCTGCTTTAACTGAGCCCAGCACCCATGACTTCAGGACTCTGAACTCTGACCATCCTGCCTTGGCTCAGATGCTCCCTGAAGTTGGGGAGCCACCCAAGGATCCATGCTGTGGCTCTGGGGACATTGGTTTCCACCATAACAACAAGTCCTTGGGAGAAGTGGCTTTTCCAGAGCCTAAGGGCACCTGAGATGAAGGTTGGGTGGGAGCCACTTAGACAAGGCAAATTCCTCCATCCATCCTGTGTGGGCACGAGGGACTACTGGTGGCAATCTTACAGAGCAGGGACAGGAGGAAAGAGAAGCCTGGGGTCAGGCTGCTCGGCCACGCCCTCACCAGCACCTGTCATCAGAGAGGAGTCCCATTTTGCAACATCCAGAGACATTTGGGGTTATTGTCATTTGGGCGTGTCGTGTGCACAGGCCAGGGATGTTGCTTAGCATCCTACAGTGCACAGGACAGGACCCACCACAAAGAATTCTCAGGCCCAAAGTGTCAATAGTGCCAAGGCTGAGGAACTCTGCTGTAAACTGAGGCCGCTTGGGACAGCGAGGTGGGACCAGAATCCATGAGCAGTGCCAAAAGAGAGTCTCCCTGTCAAGCCTTCTCAGAAGTGGGGAAAAGCCCCATCCGCCTCCTTCTATGGATTCCCAGTATATCTTTTAAAATGGAAGCTAGAGCACTTACCAAAATGGCATTTACCAGCTACACACATTCAATATCTAGACCTCGTTTGTTGAAAAATAGCCAATATTTTAATTCAAGGTTCTTCCCCAGGTCCAACCCAGAGCCCTGTTCACAGTGATTCTCAGGACAACAGTGAGAAAGAAATGCCTCATTTTCAAGCTTCTTTCACTGCCCAGTGGCTGTGTGACCTTTGACAATTGACCTAATCTCTCTGGGCTCCAATTCCCGTAGTTGTAAATGAAGATAGATACACTTTATGTTGAGTTAGCGCCAATTATGTGCGAGGCGTTTTACTTGCATGACCTCATTTAGTCCCCACAAAAGGCAAGGTATAAAGAAGGCATTGAAAGTGGGCCTTGAAGGGTGAGTAGGAGTTGGCTGTCGGCATAGAGAAGATGAAAGACAGTCCAGGGAAGGGCAAGATGTGGATATGGTATGTGCCTTGGGAGAAGGGGATAGTGAATCAGGCCTGGGAATGGTGAAATGTGGGAGGGCAGAAGCGAAGTAGAGAATCCCTGAACTCATGGTCTCCATGAAGTAGATGGGACAGCTTCAAAGGAATCTGAGTAGAAACATCACCACCTGCATCCCCTTTCTCAGCTGGAAACCACGCATGCCTTTGTTTCCCACTTTTAGAGACATCAAGGCTCTGAGCTGCACTGCCCAATATTATAAGCACCAGCCACCTATGGTTCGTTAATTTTAAATTGATTAAAGGTAAGTAAAATTAAAAATTCATTTACTCAGTGATGACGAGCACACTGGCCACCTGTGGGTAGCAGCCATTATCCCGAGCAGGGCAGACACCAAATTTCCGTCATTGCAGAGTTCTGCGAAAGCGTGGTCATCGCTGCTCGGTGTAGAATTAGAAATCCCTCTGTTTCCGTCTGATCTTCCCAGAAGCAAGTCAGTAGTAAGAGTAGTAGCAGGTTCCACAGCTAAGGGCCGCAGGTTCTCCCTCACTGGACAGCTGCAGTGTGCAAAGTTCCACAGGTGACCACTAGCAAAGCCAGGGGCTGACAGGGTTGCACCTAGTCTACAGCCCGTAGCCTTACTGTCATATGCTGCAGGTGTGTACACTGCCAGGCATGCTATGCTGCCCACGCAAAGCCATCAAGCCCCAGATCCCAGGAGAGCAGGCTTGTGGCATTGTGCTCTCTGTCTCCCTCAGACCTGCTTACTGCTGCTAAGTTGTGGGTCAGGGACTCTAACTAAATCTTCTGATTTTGCACCCAGTGGGACATGGAAACAAAACAGCTCAATGTCGACATTCCCCATGATCTCAGCTTTAAAATATTCTTCTCCTCATCACTCACAACTCCAAAATAATTTTGTGTTGGCAGAAACACCTCAAATGCATTTTTTAAACAAAGGTGTTTGTGGCTTTTGAAAAAAAATGAATGACGATAAATGAAATGTGCAAGTTCATGCATGACAGACGAGGCATTCCATGTATTTCAGAGCTGACTGAGTAATTTACCCTGTATTTTGTATACTTCCTGCAAATGTTGGGTTTCTTGCTCTGTAGCCTCTGACTTGAAATGGATTTCCTGACTAGCTTTTCCTCTCTGTATTTTTTTTTTAAAGATGGGACCTGGCTTAACCCTCACTCAGACCTAGTTCCTAATCTCAGCTCTACACTGTGCTTGCTGTAGGACCTCGGGAAACTTGCATTTCCTCTTGTGGCCCAGTTTTCTCATCTGTAAAATAAGGCTTCTAACATCTGTTGAGAGCAAGTGACATAACTTCTGTGCAAGTACCTGTAACGTGACCGATGTCTGCAACACAGTCACCTCCTCCCTCCTCCATGGAGTCCTTGTTCCCGGTCATGCAGTGTCATCAGATCAGGAGTTTCAGAGCTGAGAGTGACATTTGGAGCAGCCCTCTCCACAGTCAGTCCTGTTTAATCACTGTGCAGATAAACCACTGACACGGGAAATGTCTGTAATTGAGACCCACTCCGAGTATGATCTGGTGACATTTTAAAGAGAGCAAAAAAGAATGTTCCTTCTGATAAATGCAAACCTATCCAAGCAGAGGAGTAAATGTGGCTCTGACACAGCTGCAGGGACTCTGCAGGCCAGGGACAGAGGTGTCCTCAAAGCTGAGGATGTGAAACAGAGGCTAGACAAGGAGCAGCCTCCATGCCTGGGACCAAAAGCATTATGGGACCCAGAGCGAGATGCATTCCCTGGAGTTGAGCACGAGATGTCACAGAGTAAAATGGTTTGAAGGGTCAAAAGAGATGGTCAGGGAGCAAGAGGGTGGCACTCACAGGGTGGAGGGGCAGAGGTGACACCGGGCTGGTGAGCATCTGGGTGTTGATGTCAAGTCTTTCGCCAGTCTCAGGGATGGCCAGCCTGAGGGACCTAGCTGAGGTCAAGGGCCAGGGGCCAAAGTAGCTTAGTGCCCAAGAAGTCGGGCTCTAAAGTTAGGAACCACCCTGGCTTTGGATCCACCATCCCTAGCTGTGTTTTAAGCTGTGTCCTAAGCTTGGCCTCCCTGAATCTCAGTTTCCTCGTACAATGGCAGTTGTGATGCTGGTGGTAATGGTAGTGAAGATGTTGATGACAGTCACGTTGAAGCGGAGCACAATGAGTGATCGTTTTGCATCGACATTGGTGATGATGATGAAGATTGTGACGTGATGAGGTTGGCAGTGACAGTAATGAGGGTGATTTTGATGGTGGTGGTGGTGGTAATGATGATCCTCGGATAATGGCTCTGCTTGTGAGAAGGAAACGTTGGATGATGATGTTTATGGCAATAATAGCAGTGAGGTGAAGGCGGGAACGATGGTGATGATGATGGTGAAGATGATGACGATGACAAACGTTGAAATAGTGAAAGCCTCTACTTCTGAATGGATGCAACACATAGGCTGGAATATTGGGCTTCACTATTGACTGTGACCTGATGTGTTTAGCTTCTCTCTGTCTCCCTTACTACGTCTGTAAAATTGTAATTAATCAGCATTTCTGTCCTGTAGGATGGCCACAAGGTTCAAATGACTTAAAACACAGTTAACATTCCTGGCATGTAGTAAGTGCTTAATAAACACTAGCTATCTTACAAATACTGTTGTTGTTATTATTATTGTCGCTATATTCCCTTGAGTTTCAGAATCATTCTGTTTATCCTGAGCTGGTATTGTTCAAAGAAAGCCCAGAGCCTTGGTCAGGATAGAATGACTCACTGCCCACTGGACTTTCCCACTCATTCTATCTGCTCCTCATGCCACACCATTCAGTGTGTCCTGGGCACCTAGTTGTTCAGAGGCTCCTGGTGCATGGAATTCCTCCACAAGAGAGGCATCCTGTGATCCCAGATCTGTAAAATGGGGAAGGGGGTAGGGATGTGTAAAATCCATGTTGTGGCCGCCTTGGAACAATGTCCACAAAGATAGGTGTATACCAGTCATTGGGGCCAGCTTGGGCAAGCTCGTTCTCATGCTTAGTGTGGCGCTACTTTGCCATGTGTCACTGGGAATCCTTACAAAGTGACAGGCTGGGTGCCCAGAGGTCAGGATGTCAGATCAAGTCCTGAACCTGACGGCACCCTTCCTCACCTGCCCGCCTTGCCTTTCAGAGACGTGGACAGCAAGTCACACAAAGCTCTGGCCCTTGGCGGGGAAAATGACCGAGTCTTCAATGACCTGTGGGGGAAAGGCAACGTACCCGTCGTCCTCAACAACCCATATTCAGAAAAGGAGCAGGTGAGTGGCTGCCAGCCCGGTACCCATGCTCCCACACCACCCAGGTTTCTCCCAGGCAGGAAGTAGAGGGGAGCGGGGTCACCTGGGCCAGAAGTGCTGATCCTGGGGTGTGAATTACAGCTTTGTTTGGAAGTTCCTTTGCTTTGCTATTTGTCTGCGAGCTTGCCATTTTTCAAATATGAATCCTGTTTCTGCCAGAAAAGGCATTCGCAGGTTCCAAATTTAAAAGCAATCAAAGATGCCTAGTGATAAATGTTGTTCCTCTCCTGTAATCCCAGCCACACTTCCCTTCCCCAGAGGCCAGCAACATTAATCGGTTCTGTGTGTTCTTTTAGCGATATCTTCTACACAGACAAATACATATACACATGCATATTATTTTCATATTTTTCTGCAAATGAGAACCTATTATGTGTATTGTTTTGCACCTTGTTTTTTCACTTATCAACATTTCTAGTAGATAAGTCCCAGGTAGCAGGTGAAGAGAGGCTGGGTTATTTTTGCCAGCTGCATAATATCCTGTTGCTTCGGTATGCCTTCGTTTATTGAGTAAATCCTCTATAATGGACACTTGACCATTTAAATGCCCTGTTTTGTTGTGACAGTACCGTCGTTCGTGACATTGTGCAGATAACTCATGTGGCACATGAGCAGGTTTACTGATAAAATAAATTTCTAGAAGCTGAATTGCTCAGTCAAAGGCCATGTATGTTTATGGTTTGGGCAAAAATTACCCAAGTACTCACCCAAGAGATTGTACCCATCTTGCCAGCTAAGCAGGAGACTGGCTGTTTCCCTACAGCCTCGCCAACTCCATCTGTTATCAAAGGTTCTGTCTTTACCCGTCTGCTGAGATGCGTGTCAACAGCGGAGTCTGTACCCTTTTCCAAGAGTGACTTGTTTGGCTGGAGATGAGCAGCATCTTGTTCTCTCTTGCCTAGGCAGCTGGTGGCCAGGCCAGAGTGAAACTACTCACCTCCTGCGTGGCAGGGGAGCAGGGGTGGAGTCACCAATGGAATGCGAGGTGGCCCAGCCACTCAGCAGGGGGTACCCTGCGTCCTTCTCCGTGCACCTGATCGATGCATGGCACCTTTAGTAATACCAGCTCACCTAAACAAGGACTCAAAGCCTCTGTACAGAGCTTCAGTGGGGAGGATGGGATACAACGGAGCCTTGGCGGGAAGTGCTTTGCCTGAGCTGTTGGTGCCCAGCCAGGAAGGACAGGACACTGGGGATTGCTCAGTAGTTCAGACCCACAATCCTAGTGGTTGTCCCTTCTTCTGGCAGAGATTTGGTGAAAGGCCACAATTGTAAACACGCATTATACTATCTTCAGAAATCAAGGCTAGCGGAGTATGGTGACCCACGCCCATAATCCCAGCACTCTGGGACGCTGAGGCAGAGGGGTCACCAGTTCAAGCCTAGCCTGGGTGACTTAATGAGACCCTGACTCAAAATGAAAAAGGTTGGAGATGTAGCCCAGTGTGAAAGCCCTAGGTTCAATCCCCAGTACTGCAAAACAAAAGACAAAAAATGCAAGGCCACATTCTGGCATGGGTGGTACAGCATGTGCTTAGCATGCTTGAGGCCCTGGACTGTGACAACTATAAGAATAGTGCCCATACTTGGTGGAGACCCCTTAGTCAGGCTCCAGTACCCACCTGCCCAGTATACAACACAGGCCTGAGAAAAAAATACACCAAGAGACAGAACTAGGAGAGAAAGCAGGGGCCAAGATGACCGATGTCAGTGCAACCGACAAAGGCCCTGGACAGTCCCAGACACTGACTTTGATTGGCAATCAACTGGGATAAAGGCGACATGTGGTTTCTATGGAAAATAATGTAAATGAGGCTCATAAAGGACAAGACAAAGCATTCTGAAATTAGGAACAGAATAGACAAAATATATGATTGTAATTGGAACATTGTCCTTCTACTCTGAAGGTTTTAGTTGTGGGAAGGGAATTTGGGTGCGAGTTACTCTGACCTCGGCACGTAGGCTTCAGCCAGACTCACTTCTCACAACAAGCCAATTGTGGGGCTAACTTCACAGCCTGCTTTGGGCATAATCAGTATTACAGGCCCGTGCACATACTATGAACATTGAGGAACTCTTATCCATGAATTTATCTAGTTTAAAATTCCTTTCTAGTTCCTTTCTTAATTGAACATGATGGGGTGTGGCCATACCTGGAACCCTCCCAAGACAAAGAATGACAGAAGGAGACAGCCTCCTGGTAGATCCAGGCTATAAATACGATTTGTCAGGTCTATACAATATTTTACTTTATTGCCATTTTTTAAATTTTTTCACATAAAAATATCTACAACATTTCTTTAAAATGTGCACAACCTGATCACATCGAGTCCGTATTTCTAGGGGGCAGAAATCTTCATGGCCTAGTAGCTGACCTCACTAGACAGGGTATGAGTCCCGGATTTGCTACCTGTTGTCACTCTGTTGTTGAGACCAAGGGTCCATTGTCATTTATTACAACATTAGTGCTGTTGGTTTTCTTATCATAGGATGGGAGTTATGCCTTTTTTAAATCCGTGTCTTTATTATAAGCAACAGATAAAAATAGACTAAGAGATCCCTGTGCATTGGGAAAAAATTAGAAAGATTTCATTTTTTGACAAAATGAAGAATGTTCTTATATGTTTAATATGTGTGGTTTGGTGTTTGTTTGTTTTGTTTTGTTTTTGGCAGGGGCAGATGTAGAACCCAGGGCCTTGCACATGCTAGGTAAGGGCTCTACCCTTCGTGCTCCAGCTTAAAATGCTCTGCTTTTGAAACTGCTCTGGCTGCTTTTCTGATTCACCTGACCTCCCTTGTCACCTCCAGATTTGAGAGTTTATAATTCCTGGTCTGAGTTGTGGGGGTGGAATGAAGCAGGGAGGACCTTGATACCACCAAAAGAACTGAAACCCACTGCAGAAGTCTGATTAGTGGCAAAACTTTCTTTTGAGCCACTTACCTGGTTTAAGGAATGGCAGTCTGCACCAAGCATGGAAATGCACCTCGTAATCCCAGCTATTTGGGAGGCTGAGGCAGGAGGATCACAAGTTCAAGGTCACCCTGGGCAACTTAGAGAGAGCTTGTCTCAAAATAGAAAAAAAAGAAAAGGGCTGGGAGTGGTACAGTGTTTTCCTACAGGTGTGAAGCCCTGGGTTTCATCCCCAGTACGGGGCAGGGGAGGTTCTTTAAAAATGGCATCTGAGTAGTGGGGCTCAGTATTGAGAATACAGCAGAGATGATTCCAGCAGAACCACCGGCCTCTTTGCAGGCTTGTTAATGAAGGATCAGGGGGCGCTTAGGGACTTGCCCTGGGGCCCCTTCTAAGGTGGAAATCCCATTTCCTTGGAAAAGAAGAAATAGACTTCAAGGGTCTCGGGACAAGGAGGAAGACATGCAAGGAGTTTCAGCCTGACAGACACCAGTGGAGGCTGGGGTTTCAGTTTCCCCATGTAGGCCACAACCCCAAAACCCTCAAAGCCACGGGCCCACGAGGTCACCCTGGCTCAGTTGCCTGAGCTTTGATTTTCCAAATGCCTCTCAGAAATAAAGCTGAAAGAAGGCAGAGACCCGAGCCCTGGGTTATATTGGAGGCCTAGCTCCAGAGCTAAGAAAGCAGCCCCGTTAGCAGCTAGACATCTCCATAGCCACAGGCTTCAGAAAGGCTCCCAGGCTGAGCAAATTAATAGAAAACACAGTGTTCTTATTCCACCCTGAAAAACCGACTCCTATACTTCGCCTCCCCTCTGCCTGCTCAAAGCCACGCTACCTGGGGCTCTTGGAATCGGCTTCGGTCCTCGTGGTTGTAACCTACATTTCCTGCTTTATAAAGCATCCACGGGGACTTGGCATTGTTAATCACACAGAAAGGGACCCAGCCACGGCCTGCTTCCCTAAGTCAAGATGAGACAAGTGGCAGTGAGGAGCTGCTGATCTGCACTTTCCACCAGACCTGGGCAACAGGCGCAAGAGGCACCAAGTTGGATGCAGGCCCAAGAAAAAACTTCCTGACTTAGCAGAATGTGAGCTCCCTGAAGAAATGATGGGTGGAGCCCTCAGGTGCAGAAAGGATTCCCACCATTCTTGAGGCTCTTGTTTATCTAAATTCAGGGAGAATCAGCCATAGAGACGCCTTCTCTTAAGTGAGTCTTGGAAAGTTAAGCTGTTCATTTGTATGCAGGGCATTCTTGCTCATGGTCTTGGTCAGGAGTGGGTTCCCAATCCTTAGATCACACAGTGTGGATAACTCTGTGATCCTCATCTTCAATATCCCTTCACAAATTGCATCTGGCCTGAGAGAGATGAAATGACTCATTTGAGCCATCTTTGCTCCAAAACCTGCCATATGCATATCCCTGGGGTGGAAGCAGGGTGGGCAGACATTGTCTTTGCCCTTTGAGACCCTCACAGTCAAAGGCAAAGAGACAGATGCATACACTGCAATTCCTGATAAAAGAGAGAGGGATACAAAGGGATACAAAGTGCTAGGGGACCATAAATACCTTCGGGGAAGGTTACCAAGAGGTGACGCTGACTGGGTTTTAAAGATTAAGTAGGAGTTTGCCTAGAAGAATGTAGAGAAAGCCATTATAGTAAAGGGAATGGCTGCAGCTGATGTACTGCATTTTTTCTTGCTAAGAGCCATTAGGAGATCTCAGAGATGATCTTTCTTGCTAGTGCCATCTAAGACACCATTCTAAAGGCCTTTTAAAACAATCATCTGGTAACAAATGCTACTGTGGGTTAAAAATATGAGGAACTGCTGATTGTTCATCCTCCATGCAAAATCTTGGGATTTTAACCAAGCCCTTTTCAACTTCCCTTCTTGTTAAGCACCTGTTTCCTTCCCTTGCCTGTTTCATTTGCTTTCCTAAAGGAGATGGGGTAGAACCATGCCCTGCTTGGGAATTGACACCCACTCTCAGATGCTAATGAAATGTCCCAGCAGGGTTTAATGGGGAATAGTCTGGGCTTGGGGAAGG